TGCATAAAGTTTACTGTTATATGAATATAAAGTTGGAACGAACAAAACCGAGGAAACGGAAGTGAAAATTTGTCAATACGGTCAAATAAATAAATAAATAAATAAATAACTGGATAAACGAATAAATAAATGGAGAAACAAATATAAGTAAATATTTTTGCTAATTTCTTTCTATATTAATATTAATAATTAATAATGTATTATTAACAATATTAATAATAATACAATAAATATTATAAAATTATAATGATATCCCAATGGGAAATGCCAGTGTAGTGCCGATGTTCACCACTGGCTTAGTACTCAGACGATTGTTCGGCGTAGTCTAGCCGAGCCTCGACAATTAGTGCTGGCGCAGTACAGAATTTTTGTTTCGCCAAAGCTTGGACAAGGCTCGGCGGCAAGTGCTGGCTGAGTATAGAAAAATTGTTCACAACGCTCTTTGCCAACATTGCTTTTTTGACATAAACTTGAAAAAAATTATAAAAAAAGTTTATGAATGTTTATAAATATAAATTTATTGAAAAAAATTAATATTTTACTTTTCAGTTGTTCATTTTTTATTCTTATTAAATTTAATAATAACAATTTAACACAATTGTCTAATTTTGTAAATAATAAATTATTTAAACAAATTAAAATTATAAACAAAATTTAAACTTTAATCTCAATAATAATTTGGTTCCTATTAAAATACTATTATACTTCTTACTATGAATAAAAAATTATTAAAAAATTACCACGTAATTTAAGAATTACGTAAAATGTTAAATGCAATAAGTAAAGTAATTTAATTTAATTTTTAAAAATTTAGTTTAATTTATTTTATTTCAATTTATTATTTCTAACGTATCCCTATTTTTTTCTAATCTTTGACTCAATAATTGTATGTCTGAATGATACTGAGATATTAAAATTTTACTGCACACACGTGTCGTTAGCATAGTGGTTAGAGTGTTAGTCTGTTAGTCCGTAGGTCGTAGGTTCGATTCCCCTCGTCAGCAATTTTGTTTATTTTCATAGGTTTGCGATATTTCTAGATTCTGATCGTTAGGTACTAAAATATGAAAATCTAATGCACACTTACTGTAATTGTTTATTATTTAATTTTTAAATGTTATAAACAATTTTTTTTACTTCATTTACTATATCCATTGTTAGTCTCCATCTTTAATACAATTTCTTTAAGAAGAGAAATATTTTACGAATAATAACTATTTATTAATATTATTTACCATTTTGTTGTTAAATTATTTATAATTATTAATTTACGATTAATTAATAACAATACGGCATTTATTGCGGCAATATTCTCAGCCAGCACTGGTCCAGTGCTGCGCCAGCGCTGTCTGTCAGCACTGACAGACAGTACTTCGGCAGCGCCGGACGGCGTTATCATCCCAGAGTTATGCCAGTGCTGGCTCTCAGCCTTGCCGCCAGTGCTGCCAGTGCTGGCGCAGTACTACGCCAGTTGTAAATTTCCCATTGGGATATTATTATTATTATTATTATTATTATTATTATTATTATTATTATTATTATTATTATTATTATTATTATTATTATTATTATCATCACTATTATTATATATGCTTTTTATTTATTGATTCATTTTTCTAATATTAATTCTTCAGTAATTTTAGATTTTTATTTATTTCCATTTTTTTCTAAAAAATTAATTTAATTAATTAATTAATTTAATTAATTTAATTTAATAAATCTTATTATTCTTTAAAATGAATAATTATTATTTAAAGTTAATAATTTTTTTAAAAAACTAAAATAAATGAATTTAATAAAAAATAAAATTTATTTTTCAAAAATAAACATTAAACGAAAGTATACTAATTAAACAAACTCGAAAACATTTTTGAATGTATAAAGTTCATATATAAAGGAAATAAGAAAATTTATGAATTCTTGTGTATAAAAGTTGGAAGAGTAGTAAAAAATTTATTAAAACTTTCTTTACCTTTTTTGCAAAGCGAGAGAGAGAGAGAGAATTTTTTTTCAGCTCTTCCCTTTTTTTCTGACGTAAGTAATAAATAATTTTCAATGTTTCTTATTTGAGGAAATAAGAACTTCATCCTACCATCGAGAATATAAGCAGGATGAGTAATGGTGTTTCTTCGATAAAATGTAATTGCCTTAAAGAGTGATTCAATTGTTAATTCATTTACTGTTTCCGCGCTTCTAACTAGTTGCAAAACCCCATTTTTTTTTCTTATTCTCCTTTACTTTTTCATTGCTCATAAATAACTATAGACAAACTGAAATTCTCTTCATTTACCAAGTCAGGAAAATTAGGTCGTATAAATCAATTTTCGTATTTTAAACAATATTTGAATTATTTCGGGGATCAAAAGATTTTTTTTTTCAACTAAAATTCTTCTTTAAATCGATTATATTTAATAAATTTCAAAAAAGTTTTTTTCACTGTTTTCAAAACCATTTAATATTCAATTTTACGAAGTTTCAATTATTCGTAAATTCTTTAATTAAATAAATATTAAAAAATAAAAACTTCAAATAACATTTAAAAAATTCAATTAAACTTTTTCAAAAAAAATTATTTCAAAATTCAATTATTTCTAAAAATTTACACTATATTGCTTTTAATATTCAATTATTATCTAAAATTTTAACTAAAATTAATTTTTCAATCAATTTTTACTAGAAAATTAAACTAGAATTCAATTATTTAAATACAAAAAAAAACAATTTATTGAATAATTGAATGTTTCTTAAAATTCAATTTCCATAAAGAAATTTATCAACAAATTTTTAAATAATTGAATTCTTTCGAAGATTTTTAATACAATTTTTTAAGAATAATTACATTTTTCGAGAAATCGGATTAAAATTGCATTAAAAATAATTGAAATTCCACGATGAGTTTTATTATTTGTGAAAATCATTGAATCCCTAAGAAAAATTTTATTATTTTTGAACATTATTTAATTTTTGCGAAGAATATTAATTACTCTTGAAAATAATTAAATTTTTGCAATAATTTGTAACTTTTCCATTATTAAATTTGTTTTTTGTGTTTTTAACTATAAAATTCTTCTATAAATGCAATATTTTTAAAAAAGTTTTTCTAGAATTTTCAAATTCATTTGTTTAAAATTCAATTTTACAAAATCCCAATTATTCGTATATTCTTTAATTAAATAAATAATAGAAAATAAAAACTTGAAATAGTTTTTAAAAAAAATCCGCAATTAAATTTTCTCAAAACAATTAATTCCACAGAATAGTTAGTTAAAAATATAAAAAGTTCAGATTTCAAATATTTTAATTTGAAACATTTTCAAAATTGAATTATTTCTAAAAATCTATTCTCTAATGTTTTTGATATTCAATCGTAATCTAAAATTTTAACTGAAATCCATTTTTAAATCAATTTTTATTAGAAAATTCTACTGGAATTCAATTATTTGAAATGAAGAAAAAAATTTATTGAATAATTGCATGTTTATTAAAATTGAATTCTCATAAAGAATTTTATCAATAAATTTTTAAATAATTGAATTCTTTTGACGATTTTTAATAAAATTTTTTAACAATAATTACATTTTTCGTGGAATTCAATTAAAATTGTATCAAAAATAATTGAAATTCTGCAATAAGTTTTATTATTTATGAAAAGAATTGAATTACTAAAAAGAATTTTATTTTTCACGAAAATAATTGTATCCCTGTAAAAATTTTATTATTTATGAAAATAATTGAATGATTGCAAAGAAATTTATAAAAAAAATTGTAAATAATTGAATTCCTGTAAAATTCTTATTATTTTATGAAAATAATTAAAGGTTTGCTAAATTTTTCTTAAATAATTGAATTCTTTTGGAAAATTTTATAAAAATATTAGATATTAAAAATCATTGAATTCAGGAAAACTTTTGAAAATAATTTAAATTTTGATTTGAATTTTTAAAAATTTTTGAATATAATTGAATTTCTACTAAGAATTTTATTACTTTTGAAAATGATTGAATTTCTGCAATCATTTGTAATTTCTCTAAAATTCTCCAAATTATATCATACAATTTACAAACTTTTCGCCTTTTCTCAATCAAATTACGGAATTTACAGACCTTTTCTTTTTAAAATTAACTTTTGCGGACTTAAAGCAAATTTACGGATCTTTACGGACTTACGGACCTTGTTCGAGCCCTGTTGTTTCTATAAAATAATTTTCTATTATGCAATAATATTTTGGGGTATTTTATAAATTTTCTATTAGTTTAATAATTATTTACCTAAAAAATTTAGCTCTAAATAGAAAAATGACTATGTTCTGAAATCATTTAATTAACATACACTACCGTCGGAAATTGAGCGACCGCTAATACTTTGAGCTATTAAAAAACACACTCCGGCACAGAAACAGTGATAATTTCGTCAGAAATAAAGCTAGATGCTTTTTTTAAATTGCATCGGAAAGCTTATTAAATTTTCAATGAACTGTTACTATTTTCATTTGTATTGCATAAATAGGAAGCGGGATAATCATGTTATAAAGACAAAAAAATAATTTCTTATCCTGAATTTGACTCCTGGCAAAATTTAGAAAAGTTGAATGAAAATAGAGTCATTTCGTTGGAAATTTAATAAGCTTTCCAATGCAATTTAAAAAAAGCATCTAGCTTCATTTTTGACGGAGTTATCACTGTTTTTGTACGGGTGTTTTTTTTAATAGCTCGAGATGTTAGCGGTCGTACAATTGCCGCCGGTAGTGTAAATAAATATTTAGTTGATACAAATAAATATCTAGTTGATACAAATAATGATTTACTTGATACAAATAAATATTTAGTTAACACGAATAAACATATACTTGATACAAATAAATACTTAATTGACACAACTATATTGGTTCAATAATAGACAAGTAATCGTTTATTTAAATCAAGTAAATTCCCTTTCAGTACAATAACCATTTTTTTACTTCAATGTTCATGTATAAATACAACTGTAAATGTTTGTTGCAGAAATGACGCGACTACCGTGGTACTTGGATAGAACCTTGCCGCAAAATCGAGGAATTAGGATGCGGTACCTGCTGTTGGCGGTAGGTATAGTAAAACGGTCACGCTGATATTCCGTAAATCACTGCAGCAACAGTGCAGCGTGAGGAGAGAGAGAGCGAGAGAGAGACAGAGAGTTTGTTGTACAACAATCAATACACATGTGTTATGTATCGGCAAAATATATATACACACACATACATACTCTGGATGACAAGTCGATTTCCAGCTACAAACTCTCCATCCGTCGCTTTAAGCACTTAATAACTTGCTATTGATTAATTGCCATCCACGAGCATATCGAGCTTTACCAAAATCGACAATTATCCAATTTATATGCTCAAAGAATGCAGACACATAGAAATTTCCAATTTTTAATAGTTTACGATTTTTAAAATCTATCACAAAAACTTATTTTTTCAATAAGAAAATATAAGAAATAATAAATATACTCTCTAAATCTGAATATGTGAAATTTCACTTATTGTACGTTATAAGTCGTCCTCTCGATCAATAAGTGCATATACACTTATAAATAAGTGAATTTTTCACTTATTCTGAGTGAAATTTCACTTATTATAAGTGTATATGCACTTATTGATCGAGAAGACGACTTATAACGTACAAATATGTGAATTTTCACATATTCAGATTTAGAGAGTAAGAAAATTCCCCCCCCCCCATCTTCATTCCTTTAAGGGAGAGAAGAAGTTAGGCTATTTAAAATATTTTAATTTCAAAAGAGTACTGTTTGTTAAAGTAGTTTTAATTTTTCCAACTAACATTTACATATTTCAGTAGTAGAGAACTATATTATGGTGGGACCAAAAGTTAAATTTATATTTACTAAAAGTCCATTTAAGTCAGACGTCTTTAGAAGTTAAGGTCAAGTGACAAGGGTAAATTCAATATTTAGAACAAATTTTGAAGGTCGAGAGACTGCATCTTTGAATTTGTATCAAGTTTCACTTCTAGAGGTACCTAAACATTGTTGAAAATTGGTTGAGAATTTGTCGAAAATTATAGTGGAAAATAAAGGTCAAAATTTATTCAGATAAATTTAGGTCAAGAAGACAAGGTGATGTTGAAAATTTATTTTAAATTTGATTAAAAAAAAGCTAAGATCGGAAATCTGACACGAAAAAAAAGGTAAAATGTATTCTATTCGTCTGACTGAACACGATTTGCACTACTGACAGTAATGATATATAAACTGAACGTTCGACTGACTAATATTGACTCGTACCACTTGACAATAACATAACGCAAATAATTAATAATTTCAACTCACTAAATTCTACTTTCAGTTTCAAAAAGTAACATTTGGTCTGAATGTACACTGACTTCTACTACTCAAATGGAGTTAATACTGAAAAAATTACCAATAACTTCGGATAAAAGCAAAAATTGGAAAATATTTACTAGTCCAATTTACACTAATGATGCACTAAAATGTAACTCAGAATTTTAAATTTTGTCTCAATGAAACTAGATTTTACTACTGATATTACACGTTGTCTGACTAAAAGAGACGTCTACTACTGAAATTGTTATCATTAGTAGGAAAAATTACAATGTTAATAGCGACTGACTTAAACCAACTTCTACTACTATTCAAAACAATTTTGCTGAATATATCCCACTAAAAATACTGTTAGTGAAAATTGAAGTATGACTAAAAAAAAGTCTGACTAAAACTGTATTTTACTACTGAAATTGAATTACTTCTTGCAACTGTTACAACTACTTAACCAAATGTTACCAAACTGTATGTAAAAATAGAGAATTTAATATTGCGACTGACTTGGAATGATTTGAACTACTGGCACTAATTTTGTACTTTAAAGTCGTCTGACTATAACTGTTTTTACTACTGAAGTGTTCCAATTTCTAGTAAAAATTAGAATAGTGTTAATAAAAGCAACTGATGACTTTAACTCACTTCGACTACTATTCAGAACCATTTTGTTGACTATTTCCCAATAAAAATACTGTTATTAAAAGTTAAAGTCTGACCAAAACGGTATTTTACTACTGCAATTGAATTACAACTTGTAAACATTAATTAATTTACAAACAACACTTAAGTGTAAAATTAAAATTTTTTTTAGTACGTCTGACTCAAATGGACTTTTACTACTAAAATTAATACTACATATATAAATTTCACTTTTGGTCTGACTAAACCTGTCCTCTACTACTGAAATTTTAAGATTACCAAAAATTACAAAATTGTAAAGAATTGCGTCTCATTTAAACCAACTTTGACTACTGTACAAAGAAATTTTGGTTCAGTATCGGTAATAGAAATAGTAAACAGAATTTTTTTGATATAAAAAATGTCTGACTATAAATGTTCTCTACTACTAAAATGGAATTAAAACTTGCAAAAGTTAAAACTACTTTAACCAACAATATTAAAAAGTGAAATAAAAATTTTTTTATTGTTGCGTCTGACTGAAATTTACTTTCACTACTGCAATTAAAATTTCACTTTCGGTCTGACTAAAACTGTCCTCCACTACTGAAATTTAATAATTATCAAAAATTACAATATTATTGTCTCACTTAATCCAACTTTGATTATTGTACAAAAAAAAATTCTCTTCAGTATCTTTAGCAGAAAATAGTAAACAAAACTCTTTTGATAAAATATAATGTCTGACTATAACTGTTCTCTACTGCTGATATGGAATTGAAAAATGCAAAAATTAAAACCACTTTAACCAACAATATAACAACGCAAAAATATTTTATTTTTGCGTCTGACTGAAACTGACTTTCACTACTGCAATTAAAATTCAACTTTCGGTCTGACTAAAAATGCCCTTCACTACTGGAATTTTATAATTACCAAAAATTACAAAATTGTAAAGAATTGCGTCTCACTTAATCTAACTTTGACTACTGTATAAAAAAATTCTGTTCAGTATCTTTAGCAGAAAATAGTAAACAAAATTCTTTTGATAAAAAAATAATGTCTGACTATAACTGTTCTCTACTACTGATATGGAATTAAAACAAGCAAAAATGAAAACGAACGAACAACACTAAAATATAAAATTAAAATTATTTATTGGTGCGTCTGACTAAAACAGACTTGTACTACTGAAACTAATATAAAATCTTATTTACTTCCCTTTACTTTACTCAGTAAAATACTTTAGTAAAATATATCCTGTCTGATTTTAACCGTCCTTTAATACTATCAGAAAAAATTTATCAGTCCGACTTAAAACTGATTTGTTCCACTTGTTACTGATATATTACAAAACTTTGAACTATTCTCCTGACTGAAATCCGTTTTTCACAACTAAATCTAGATTTAAGTTTCGGAGACAAAGACGAGGGTGGTAGGGGGAAATCTCGCACTACAAAACTTAAAGAGGGAGGAAAAAATATTACAAATGTTAACATTGCAGAGGGAGATATTAAATAACTTTTAAAATAGATGTTTACTTTTCATATCTACTTTTTATATTTACATTTTATTACTTTATTTTTTTATATCTTATATTTATTAGATATATTCATATCTGCTTTTTGTATTTATTTTCTTTTATTATTTACTTCTTTCTTTTTATATTTAATTTTTTTCACTTTTTATAAATATACATATACATATTTTTTTCAATAGCTCTTACCAAAAAAAAAAAAAAAAAAAAAAAAACTTGATCGTTTATCAAAATAATGAGACTTTTCCTGTATGCATCGGATTTTACTTTTAAGTAGATTCAGTAGATTTAACTAGATAGTTTAGTAATGACTTCGCTAACTTTATTCGGTAAGGTTTGCCTTAAAAAGTTTTAACCTCATAGAATCTTGCTTGCATCGTAATTGCTTAAGTTCCGAAATCGATCCAATTTTACATTTACTTACATATACAAGTGATTTTTCGGGAAATTTAAAAAAGAAAATTACTCCCGTCTCCTAAATATTTTTTCTTATTTTTTAACTTCAGAATATACCATATTTTAGAAATCAAATGAAACTATATATGAGAAAATAGGTCAAGGAGCGGAGATAATTTTAAAATTCAGGTCAATGTCAGAGAGGAAAACAATGGAACGTAAATTAAATTTAAATTACTTTCTCTTTTAGGTGAAAATTAATAAAATTTGTAAATTTACATTTTTAAAAGTCAAAGAGGAAAATGACTACTTGCAATTAAGGGCAAAAGTGCTGTCATAGTTTATGTCAAAAACAGAACAAGAGACAAAAATAATTGAAAATTCAGGTTAAGTTTAAAAAAATACCGAAGAATACAAAATCTTAAAATTTGGGTCATAATCAAAAGGGAAAGAGTGAAAAAATAATGAAATTTTTTTCGCTGAAATCGACAGGTCAAAGGGCAAATCAATTTTTAAAGTTTAAATATGTCAGAGATCAGGAGAATATTCAAAAGTATCAATTTAAGAAGCCAACAAAATCAAAAAAACAAAACATATTTTTAACCCCTTCGCAGTCTAGTTGAAAATCGCTTGTGGTCCAAAAACGGTCCGAAAAAAAAGTTTACAAAAAAATATGATTTAATCATATATAAGATTTTTGGGGTCGCTGAATTCGAATTTGAGGTTAGTTTTTGAAAATTCAAAATGGCGGATCCAATATGGCGACCAAATATGGTGGATAATTTTAAAATTAAAGCGTTTTAAGGGAAATTCATTTCTCGGGGGTTTTCGAGGTCGCTGAATCCAAATCTGAAGTCAGATTTAAAAAATTCAAAATGGCGGACCCAAAATGGCGACTTCAAAAAAAAATTTTTTTCAGATTCCCTTGAAACTCGTTACTCGGGAGTTTTCGGGGTCTCTGATTACAAATATGATGTCAGATTTTCAAAATTTAAAATGGCGGATCCAATATGGCGGATGATTTCAAGATTGATGCGAAAAAAATATGAAGTTACCTCAAAAACCCCTGAGTAAACATTTTAGACAAATTTGTCAACATTCAAAAAATTTGATCGACATATTGAATCCACAATTTAGCATTTAGAAAAACGAACATCAAATTCGAATTCAGCGACCCCAAAAAACCCCGGGAA